CGGCAGTAGAGAGGAAAGTTACATTAACTGCGTGTCGGCTGTGGATCCAGCCGCAGTTAATCAATTACTTTAACAACTTGAAGCAGCTGCCGGAGCACTTCCGGGTTGCAGTTGGTGCCGGACCATCAGGCATACCGGACCACTGGATGCCGGACCACCGGAGTTTTACTGTAGTTTTTTCTGTGGCTAGACAGTGTGACATCATCATCATTAGAAAAGAGAAGATTGAGGGGGGACATGTTAGCTATTTTCAGGTATCTAAAAGGGTGTCATAAGGAGGAGGGAGAAAACTTGTTCATCTTGGCCTCTGAGGATAGAACAAGAAGCAATGGGCTTAAACCTACAGCAAGGGAGGTTTAGGTTGGACATTAGGAAAAAGTTCCTAACTGTCAGGGTGGTCAAACACTAGAAGAAATTGCCCAGGGAGGTTGTGGAATCTCCATCTCTGGAGATATTTAAGAGAATGTCTTATCAGGGATGATCCAGACTGTATTTGGTCCTGCCGTGAGGGCAGGGGACTGGACTTGATGACCTCTCGAGTTCCCTTCCAGTCCTAGTATTCTATGATTCTATGATCACGTCACTATGTTCCACAGGAACATGCCCTACCCACCCCTAGCTCCCAAATGGAAGGCTGGGGCTGCCTACTGCCCCTGCCCTCCTCTTCCCAATAACAGAGGGAAAGCTGGGCAGAGCAGCTCAGATGCAGGCCCTTCCGGTGCACAGCAGGGGAGAGCCGGGCCTGGCACACGATGCCACCTGACTGCTGGAGTAAGTTAGGCCACAGTGGAGAGTGGGGATGGACAAGGCTTGGGGGGCGGGGAGGGGAGGAGACAAGTGGGCCCTGCTTGGCAGCAGCAGGAGGAAAAAAAGAACAAGGTGGCACTGGTGGGTGGACAAGGGTAGGGAGAAGGGTCCCAGGCTGGTGCAGCCATAGCCTGGCCCTTCCCGGTTGCTGGTGGGGCAAGGCTGGGGAGTAGCCAGGGTTGGCTTTGTGAGGATTGGGTGAGGGGGCATGTGGGATCCCAGAGCCTTGCAGAGGATTGGGTGTGGGGGGTGTGTGGGACATGTGCGGCATCACTGGGTGAAAGGGGAGCACATGGGAACTGCGTAGCCTTGCCCCTTTACGGTGGAAGGAGAGAGTTGGGCCAGCCTCGGTCCCACCCAACACAAGGAACCCTCCCCCTCCATGGCCAGAGTGAGGGATCTGGGCCAGCCTGCCCCTTCCCCTTCCCCTAGTTAGACCAGCCCACCTTCCCCTAGCAACTGGAGAGGGGAGAGCCAGGCCAGCCTCGGTCTGGCCCAGCCACCTCTCCCCTCGGCAGACAGGGAGAGCCAGGGCTGCTATGCCTAGACCTGGGCCTCTCTGACAGTAAGCTGGGGCTGCTTTCCCCAGGAGAGGGCAGTTGGGAAGCACAGCAAACAGGATGCACCACCTCCTAGTTTTTTTAAGTGTTTTGTCATATTTTCATTGGAAATAGACCTTGCTGAAGCTTTTGTCATAAGGAATTTAGGTAGTTTTATTTTGCATGTTTGTCATGATGGAGAGAAGTAACATTAGTTCTTACTAAGCTTTCATTGTAATTAGGTAAAACATATACACACACATGCTATTGTAAGAGCGTTAAGTTTGGGAAACTCAAAATGATTGGTTTGTAGTGCTTCTTATGGACACATGACTGATTCATATTAGACAAATGTACTTTATTATTGCTTCAGTGCATGGTGGTATCTAACAAATGGATTCGCTGGTTAAAGGGCATAGGGAGTTGGTTAAATGATCAAGTGGTGAAGGTGGAGAAGTGCTTAATTATTTTTCTGTAAATGTGGATGTAAGTAGGTGAATGAAAGACAGGTTTCATGACAAGAAAAGTTTATCATCTAAGTAAGTGATTAAAACTTGGGAGGAAGGGAGGATAAGGATAATGTCAAGAAGATAACATGTTTATTTTGTTTTTTACATATTACTGAAGGCTTAGAATACCTTCTAGAATGCATGCAGAAGATATTTATCTGCTTGAAAGTCTAAAATTTGTAGTTTGCATGGGAAAAAAATTTAGATTGAGAAGATGATAGCTAGAATGGTTATCCTTCCAGTATATTTTAATCTGAAAATGTTTAACATTAAATGGACACCATGAATTTCAAATCTTCCAAGTTAGGGGAAAAAAAAGTAGCTTACTACCGTTCCAGTTTTTGAATCTCACTGTTTGTTTTTGTGTTATGATCATTTTCCTAATTTAAAAATACTTTTTCAATCCTTTTTTGTTGTATGGAAGATTTCACAAATGAAAAGGGTAAAACTGACTTCATGCAGTGGTGACTGTGAAATTAACTTACATGCAAATTGCTATCTTACACACAAAATAAATTGGTCTTTGGTTCTAGGAATTTTAGAAAGTGCTTGTAACAGTAGTAGATAAAACATTTAGATATAATTCTTAAGTTGATGGCATTCCTTTAAATCTTTGATCTCTGGACAGTGGAATTGGCACTATAGCATGACTACTCTATATACCCCATTAATTTTTCTAAAAATTCTTTACTATGTGTAAACATGAATATGGGGTCAGTCTTTAAAATGCTATTTTTGTATATTCTACAGAAATATCGCTATCAGGATGACAGTATACCTCCACAAGAGCATAGCTCTTCGCACCTTACCAGTGAGGTGACTGGTCCAGAGCTGGTTCATGTATCAGAGAAGAACCTATCACAGATTGAGAATATACATGGATTTGTTTCCCATTCTCACATTTCACCAGTAAAGGTAGGGATTTTTAAAAAAATGTGAACTATTTATAATAGGCGTTTGAAAGAATGAATGATAGCTTTAACAGACTTATGGTATTTTGGAAAACCTGTTTTTCTGCGTCGAGTGATTGCTCATGTCCATTCCACATTAGGTGTGCACATGTAGCACACCTTAGCAATACCTTTTGGGCCAACAGGGGAGCTCCCTGGAGTGGTGCCAGTATACCGGCCAATATATACCCCTGCTGGCCCTCCACCCGCTCAGTTCCTTCTTACCACCCCGATGGTTGTTGGAACGTGCTTTTGCTCTTGCTTAGCAAGCGCCCTTTATCAGTTACTTAGTGTTACAGTTCTCCCTTCTAGTTCTAGTTACCTTATCAGTTTTTATGTAGTTGTTAAGTGATGTTACCTGGTGCTAAGGACCCACCAGGGTTCTTGCTCCACACGACCAGCATGTGCGGTGGGGCATGCCTAGGCCTCTAGGCTTCAAGCGTTGTAAGAAGTGATAGAGGCCTGTTCCCTGCTGCGATCCACACTTCGCCTGTCTTAAGTGCTTGGGCGAGGCCCACTTGTCCGAGGCCTGCAAAATCTGTAAGGCATTTAAACTACACACAAAGTGGGAGAGAGAGTCGGGCTTCAAGATTATTGTGATGGAGGCGGCTTTATGGCCGGTACTGGCATCTGACCCGGCACCGACAACTCTGGCCTCGGTGCGGGAGGCATTGCAACATTCACACTCCTCTCTGGCACCATGCAGACCTTGGCACTGGTCGCAATCTCCGGTGCCTCAGAAGAAGAGGAGGTCTAGTGGGGTAGGTCACCCCCATGGCGCCTGCACACTCAAGTGGGGCATGCCGGACCATTTAGTGCTGAGCCCAGACCATCTTGGTTAGACAAACGACTTTCTTTGCAGGAGGACCCCAGCCCAATGTGGGACTTCCTGGAGTCTTCTACCCTGGAGGCTTTCAAGGCATCCAGGGACTTGATTGAGCTGTCCCCTTCTACTTCAGCACCGGGCCCCGACAAAGATCAGGACCATGGTCAGCACCGAACGGTGGTCAGGGTGCACAGCGCCCCGGCACAGAAGTCGAGGAAACACTACTCTGCCTCACATGCAGCCCTGGCACCGGGCATGACAGTGCCCACAGTACCGGCACTGGTGGCAGCTTCAACCCTGGCCTGTGACTTGGCATCATAGCCGGCACAAGGGCAGGGCCCCCGAGCATCACTGAGTGCAGCACCAGATTCCATGGGCACTGCTCCCACTCAGGGCTCATCAGGCCCGGGGTTGGCCATGCCTCCTTCTCCCCCTCTTTGGCACCGGGGCAAGCTGGAGTCGATGGCCCAGCACACCCCAGCAGCAAGGTCACTGGCTGTGTCCGCCTCAGCTTCACCCTGGTCAGCCTTGGAGTACTCGACTGACTAGGAAGCGGAGTCCACATGGTCATCTAGGGGATCCAGATCCCAGTCTCAGCACCGGTCCTATTTCATAGAATCATATAGCTGGAAGAGACCTCCGAAGGTCATCAAGTCCAGCCCCCTGCTCTAGGCAGGACCCAATCCCAACTAAATCAATCCGGCCAGGGCTTTGTCAAGCCGAGACTTAAACACCTCTAGGGGCGGAGACTCCACTACTTCCGTAGGTAACCCATTCCAGTGCTTCACTAACCTCCTAGTGAAATAGTTTTTCCTAATATCCAACCTGGCCCTCTCCCACCACAACTTGAGACCATTGCTCCTTGTTCTGCCATCTGTCACTCCTGAGAACAGCCTTTCTCCATCCTTTTTGGAACCTCCCTTCAGGAAGTTGAAGGCTGCTATCAAATCCCCCCTCACTCTTCGCTTCTGCAGACTAAATAGACCCAACTCCCTCAGCCTCTCCTCATAGGTCATGTGCTCCAGCCCCCTAATCATTTTGGTTGCCTTCTTCTGGACCCTCTCCAATGTATCCACATCCTTTTTGTAGTGGGGGCCCCAGAACTGGACACAATAATCCAGATGTGGCCTCACCAGAGCCGAATAAAGGGGAATAATGACATCTCTGGATCTGCTGGCAGTGCTCCTCTTAATGCAACCTAATATGCCATTAGCCGTCTTGACTACAAGATCACACTGTTGGTTCATATCCAGCTTCTTATCCACTGTAACCCCCAGGTCCTTTTCTGCAGAACTACTACATAGCTAGTTGGTCCCCAGCCTGTAACAATGCTTGGGATTCTTCCATCCCAAGTGCAAGACTCTGCACTTGTCCTTGTTGAACCTCATCAGATTTCTTGTGGCCCAATCCTCCAATTTGTCTAAGTCACTCTGGACTGTATCTCTGCCCTCAAGCGTATCTACCTCTCCCCCTAGCTTAGTGTCATCTGCAAACTTACTAAGGGTGCAATCCATCCCCTCATCTAGGTCATTAATAAAGATATTGAACAAAGCCGGTCCTAGAACCGAACCTTGGGGCACTCTGCTAGAAACCGACCGCCATCCTGACATCAAGCCATTGATCACTACGTGCTGGGCCCGGCCTTCTAGCCATCTTTCTGTCCATCTTACTGTCCATTTATCCAATCCACATTGCCTTAACTTGCTGGCAAGAATATTGTGGGAGACCATATCAAAAGCCTTGCTAAAGTCAAGATATATCACATCCACTGACTTTACCATGTCCGCAGAACCAGTTACTTCATCATAGAAGCTAATCAGATTGGTCAGGCATGACTTTCCCTTTGTGAATCCGTGCTGACTATTCCTAATCACTTTCCTTTGTTTCAAGTGCCTCAAAATGGATTCCTTAGGGATCCCTTTCATAATTTTTCCAGGAACCGAGGTAAGACTGACCGGTCTATTGTTCCGTGGATCGTCGTCCTTCCCTTTTTTGAAGATGAGCACTACATTTGCCTTTTTCCAATCATCCGGAATTTCTCCCATCCTCCACGACTTTTGAAAGATAATGGCCAAAGGCTCCTCAATGACATTTGCCAACTCCTTCCATACCCTCGGATGCATTAAGTCCGGACCCATGGATTTGTGTACGTTTAGCTTTTCTAAATAGTTCCTAGCCTGCTGATGTTCAGAATGTGCAGTCTTTTCCTATCCAACTGCAGGCTACAGTAAGCTTCCTTTGTTACATGAAAACGCTGGAGTCGCTGATTATGATCAGAGGAGCACTTTGTCCTCACAACACTCCTCTCCTATTACATCTGGTCATTTTCACCATTACTGAGATGGACCATATCACCCACAGTAGTATCCTGACTGGCATTTTCCTCCTCCCTATTATCAGATCTGTTACCCACCCCAGTGGGCCCCATGTGAGTATTGGAGACCGTGCAGATGCCATTCTACGGGCCCATCTGCATCACCAGAGAGGGTTCCAGCAGCCTCTCCATCCTACACCCTTCTGAATACTTTGGAAGATGACGAGGAGGGTTAAATTCTTGACGAGCCCATTAGTACACAAGCCCGGCAGCTTCCCTCAGGGGACAGTTCAATCTTATCTCCCGACGAGGCAGTAATACCTGAGGGATACCCCTTCTACTGATGAACTGAAACAATTTCAGGAACTTTTTAAAAGAGTGGCCACTACTCAGGAAGTTCAGTTCTAGGAGATAAAGGAGAAAGAGCAGTGTCTCCTAAACTACATCCATCCCCCTTCTCAGGGAAGGATTGCGTTATCAATTGACGAAGCAATAATGCAGATATAAGATGTCATTTGGCAGACAGCTGCCTCCACCCACCAACTTGCAGAAAGTCTGACAGGAAATATTTCCCCAAGGAGTTGGCCGTTCTGTTCTCCCGCCCCTAGCCATACTCTTTTGTAGTGGATGCAGTGAATCAATGCTCGAAAGCTCCTCAACTTAGGTTAGCAACCAATGACAAAAACATAAAAAAACTAGACCTATTTGGGGAAAAAAATTCCTACGCCACCCTGCAGTTCAGAATTGCGAATGTCTCTGCATTGCTAGCCAATCACCACTTTCATAATTACTCCAAGCTTGCCGAGCTGATAAGGCACCTGCCCGACCCTGAGAACCATCCTCAGCGCAGTAATTCCCAAGGGGCACACCATCGCCCACACAGCACTACTATCAGCAATACATGTAGCTCACAGAGTGATGATGAGGAGAGCCTCCTGGTTGCAAGCACCAAGTATGCCCAGCGAGCTTCAAGCAAAAGTGGAGGATCTCCCTTTTATAAACAAAAGCTGTTGCTGCTAACATGGATGAGATTCTGCATATCAGTAAAAACTCTCGCTCCACTCTTTGCACTCTCAGCATGTACACACCACGATAGCAGCAAAAGAGAGATACAACATACAACAGGAACAAAGACAAAGGGTATGTCTACTCTACCCCGCTAGTTCTAACTAGCGGGGTAATGTAGGCATACCGCACTTGCAAATGAAGCCCAGGATTTGAATTTCCCGGGCTTCATTTGCATAAGCGGGGAGCCGCCATTTTTAAAACCCCGCTGGTTCGAACCCCGTGCAGCGCGGCTACACGGGGCTCGAACTAGGTAGTTTGGACTAGGCTTCCTATTCCGAACTACCGGTACACCTCATAAGCTCACCCCATGCTCTAAAAGGGCAAGAGACCTACAAGGAAGATTATTGTTTTTGGGCAGCAACATGGCTGAGTCACAACCTCGTTCACCCTGCTACCCCCCAGATATGACCCTCTTGGGGAAGAGGGCAGGAGGAGCACTCCCTTGCAGGGATGTGCCAGAGAGAGGAGTGGAGCATGAAATGCTCCCGGTCCCCTCCTGAGCCTCAGCCTCTAAATGACAGAAATGTAAAGGAGTCTGATAAGACCATGAATAGGTAGAACTCTCAAAAGCAGGACTAGGGACCCGGCTTAAAGAAAAGCCATGACTCTAAAATGGAGCAAGGAGCAGTCGCTAGCCATGTTTCACTCTCTCCCCATAGGAAAGCAGCACCAGTGGAGAGCACAGTACTGTGGAGCAGCAAGCTGCAGAGCAGTGGAATGCCGTTTTTGAGCAAATTCTTGATACCGTTGGTACTGG